GGGGGGGTGGAATTGGTGTGGAGCTGGATTGGAGCTTTATGACTTTATGAGAACCAAGCAAGGGCCCAGAAGCACACAGATTCTCTAAAAGAAAAGCTCTCCGCGTCACAACTGAGAAAAGCTCTCCGCGTCACATTCGAGACAAAAAAACGCGTCACAACCGAGACCCTTTCCGTAAACGTGTGTGTGTGTGGTAACATCCTTCCAAATCCTGCCGAAGACGTTTGCAAAAGGCTGACAACAATCTAGTCTCGTTATATACCGTGAACACAACACAGCCAATACACTCCCTTCCTGCCTCTTCTACACCTATAGTAGTGTTTGCAATTTGAGGGGAAGGAGCGTAGCAAAGGACAGGGGCTCATCTGCGCACACAGATCAGGATCATCTGCGCACACAGATCTGGATCATCTGCGCGCACAAATCTGGATCATCTGCACACACAGGGCACAAGGGGCGGGGTGGGGCTATTGACGTTCACTTCGACTAGCACACGTCGCACACTCAAAGATAGCACACCGCTGCCCAGCAGATTCTGCAAGCTTGCGCCGTCAAAATGCACTTTGAACAAGTCGAGTCAAAGCACCATAAATACCAGCGAATTGGCCTCACGCACATCTGAGCACCCTGGATCAACACCCAGCCTTTGCACCTACCGTAAGAACCCAAAGTATGGCCACACTGTTCAGGCACCCCGCATACGGAAGCCGCGTGTACAAACGATCCCCGCGCGTACAAACGATCCCCGTCACCGCGTGTACAAACGATCCGAATTCCGCGTGTACAAACGAACCTCTGTCCCGTAGCAAATGCCCGATGCAGCAAGATTAGATTTGGCCAAGGCGACTGCAAGCATCGAAATTGAATGGCGTCCAAAAGCCAAGAGAAACCAAACCTGAGCGGACACAATTTCGTGTGGGACATCATCGGCGCGGCCCTTATGATGGGAGAAAAGGGCTAGCAAGGTTAACAAAAGGAATGGAGTTCTGTTGCAGGTTGTATCACATGTTTTTTACAATTCCATGTCCGTCTGTATGATACAACATGACCATAAACGTTTGCTTTTTTCAACACTTTCGGTCTTGATGCTTAAAACATGTTTCGTCGGGCAACACGCCCGAGATCACAGCTCCCACCAAAAGCATGAAACGTAGACCGGTGATATCGAGCAAATGATCCTCAGCAGCACTGGCCAAGCCATGCGTTAAGCTGTCAAAATCAAGTCTAAGTAAATCCATGTGAGCCAAAGCTGTTCTTATGAAGGATGTATCGGGTCAACACTTTGGTTGAGTTTACACCCCAACCAATTGTTTCTGCGAAGGTGACGTGAATAGCCCTCAAGGTGCACGCGTCACATGGGTACTGTAGAGGCAGCTTTGGAAAGTAGCTTTGCTCGCCTGTGTGAGTGGGCATAGAGAGACGTTTCGTAGGTTATGCGCCCAACGTGGGCCATTTCTTGGCACAAATCTCTGCAAAGCAGGTTTCTTGCAGGGTGTGGTGAAGCTGGAAAATGACTCGGAAGGGATATATGATATATATAATATCTCCGCTGCTGGTGTGCAGGGTCTATTCAACGGAGAAGGTTGAAAGGCCGGTCTTTGTCTCAGAAGCGGAGGAGAAAGCGGGGGGCCAAAGCAGCTCATCAGCAAGGAGCTTGGCAGGTGAGCAAAAAAGGATGGCGAGGCGACTAACAGCTGGTGCGGTGGCTCAAGCCCAGCGGCCTTCGCCAGGTTGCTTTGTTGGAGGAGACTCGACATGCATCCCCTTTGGAGGTACGTCCGACTAGTAGCGAACCTTGTTCCTAGTAGTAAGGCCAGGAGCCCCTAGTAGCGTTCTTGCTCCTAGTAGCGATGCCAGGAGCCCCTAGTAGCTTCTTGTTCCTAGTGCGAAAGGTGATGTGCCTTGCCCTTAAGGTGCACGAGGCAGCTTTGGAAAGTAGCTGTGCTCGCCTGTGAGTGGGTATAGACGGTATAGAGAGATGTTTCGTAGTTTCAATCTCTGTCACATGAATCAAGACACATACTAATGATCAGCGTATTACAGTAGAATCTGCCTTGAAACGCAATTGGACAAAGCTGACAAAGCTTGCGCAATCATTGCAAAAACGAACCAACAAATCCAAACAAGGGTTGTCCTAGCACAGCATATCACGGCATGCAATAGATTTGTCATATTCCTCCCAATGGGGGTCTGTGATGACAAGTGCGAGCAACACTGAGAACTAAGAATCTGTGCAAAGCATCCTGAAACTTCTCAAGACCGTCTTTTCTGAAACGGGAGAACAAACTACTGTATCCACCCCGGAATGCGAGAGGCCAAATGGAGAGCTTGCAGCCATCGGAATCCAGTTGGCCAAACGGCTTCCAAGGGCAAGCGGACTTTCATGGCAAAAGCTTCGCTATGACGTCTGCACAGCGATGTCCGAAACAATGGATGAATCAATTGTGAAAATCGTGTTTGTTGCATGGTGAATCAATCGGCAAATTTTCAACGTGTGGCAAGTCCTTTCAAACTCTTTCAAAGCTTCGCTTCGTGTTTTCTTCAGAACGCATCTTCGATAGCAGTCCAGCAAACCAGTGCCGTACCATTCCCAACAAAGAATCATAGATATGTCGCAGATGTTTTCATCATGTGCAAAAAGGCAACCTTACTTTCCATCCAATGACCCGATGGTTGACGGCCCTTATCCCTTGCTGACTTCATGCATCCCCAAGAGTATATGTCAAGCACCTTACGGCCGCAGATTGTTCAGCAATGTTGTCAACTCCGAAACTCGATGATGAGGAGACATACCACCGAGTTCCTCGTCTATCAACATGCTCAATGTTTGCCATCTAGAATCCACAATCATCTAGAATCCTCAATCTAGAGGCCATAGAACGCTATAGAACCATTAAAGCATATTAAAACTTAAAGAAACAAAAAACATGGATGCTCTATGCTCTCAATGAGGCTGAAGGAACGGTCTCCATCGGCCTGGCTGATCCAGCGCGGTGCAAACCTTGATGCGTTCATCTAGGTGAGCTGTGCCATTCCGAGCCGCTCTTTTCATCTGTAACATAATCTAGCGGATCTGAATCCATTCCACCTTGGTCCTTTCCACTCGTCATGCCAAAGACTGAGGCACAGAACAATGGCTTGCTCGATGCCAGACAAAAGCACCTTTCAAAGACAATTTGTTTGTGCTCAATGTACGAGTAGCAGTCAGTCAGGGCATGCGGCATGGGCCAAATTTAAGAAAAGTCATGTGCCAAACACAAGCTTGTCATCCAAATTGTCCACCAAAAAACATATATATATATATAGTTTGATGACTTCGAATCCTATGTTGGAAATTTGTGCCCTAACTAGGCAGGGAGGAACTTGCGGCAGTTATATACCTGAGAAGCTGCAAAACGAAAGCCAGCGCTTCCCTTTCTCGACAACTGCGCGTCGAAGCAATCAAATGAGCTCGCGCAGCCGCTTGCGGCCGCGTGTCACATCTGCTTCATGTCTTGTTCTGCCCACACATAGGTAACCATGCAAAAGCAAAATTACACCGGCAAGGGACCCCAAATAGTGTAAAGAGGAACAGATGGAACATGGCATCACGTGGAAGGAAAGAAGGAGCACACAGATGAGAGCACAAATATGAGAGGATACATACAAGAGCACAAATGTGAGAGTGCAGATTCACGAGCACAAATGAGAGCACACATATGAGAGCATATGGGAGCACATATGAGAGCACATGAGAGCACACATCTGAGAGTACAAATGTGAGAGCACATACAAGCACAAATCTGAGAGCACATAGGCGAGTACATAGGAGCATTTCGAAGTTCACAATGTACCGCGCCTGCCACGAAATCTGCACATGGAGGTTCACAAAGTACTGCGCCTGCCACGCAATCTGCACATTGAGATTCACAAAGTGCTGTGCCTGCTACGAAATCTGCACATCGAGATTCACAAAGTGCTGCGCCTGCCACGAAATCTGCACTTCCAGACTCAGCAAGTGCTGCGCCTGCCACGAACTCTGCACATCTAGATTCACACAGTGCTGCGCCTGCCACGAAATCTGCACATCGAGGTTCACAAAGCGCTGCGCCTGCCACGAAATCTGCACATCGAGATTCACAAAGTGCTGC